TGTGTGTATGTATGATACACCATCTAATGTTATACACTAGACTTATTGAAAATATCAATTACTTTTACTCTTGGCTTCCAAAGCTACATTTATTCCTTGCTTCACTAGCAAGCGCAAGAATGCTACGTCACGCGTAAATGTATAGTTATGAGAATGAGAGTTTCTTACCCGGAACATCTATTCTTTGCCTCCTCAGCAATCAGCCCAATTTATTTCTAAAGTAGATTCTAAAAAACAATTAAAGAGAGGAAATGATCAAATCAAACTCCATCTTTGATATCTCTCTCTCAAATTTTCTTGTATCACATCAATATGGCTTCTACACCCCAATATTCCATAGGACCAACTAATTCCCTAAGATCAACCGTGCCCTTTTTCAACAAAGTCTCCACTGCCCAATGTTGGAACAGAAATCATTTAACTAGCCATCCTACAATCACCAAGCACATCTCTAGGCCTAATTTTCTTCAAATGCCATCAGAAATAATAAAGAAGGAGCTCAAAGTTAGAAATGGTGGTTGGAGAGTTTGGGGCATTGACGATGGGTCATGCGGAGTTGCGCCTACGCCTCCACCACCGCCTTCCGTCCTGGATGTCGTCCGGGATTTCCACAACGCCATAAATGCCAGGGACAACGACAAGCTGTCTCAACTTCTATCTGAGGACTGCCATTATGAAGATCTCGTCTTTTACATTCCCTTCGAAGGAAAAGAGGTTTGTTTTAGCAAATATTTTGTGAATATTAAGGTCTAGCTAGCAGCTAGTATGCATGGATGTTTATCTTCTTTTTTTTTTTTTTGGCATTTTATGTGTCGATTGAGAGTTTAATATGGTAGAACATAAAAATTCAATTTATCAGGTTGCTCTTCAGCGACCACCCCGTTGACCGGCGATCAATGCCTGTCATCGGAGATTGCCTTTGAACGACACCTAGTAGATTACAACCGGTAACCTTGTCGATTACTCTTTTGACCAGTAAAAAAAATTTCGGTAATACATATGTCGTTGAATTTTGAACCAAAATGAATCAACTCTTCTAGGGGTAATCCTCAAAATTCTCCAAATATAAAAATGATATTTGAACTCGATCCAAAATTAGACCCTAGAAAATTGCGTCCACAGGAAAGTTTTGATGCTAGTATACATTCATTTGGCTTTTTGTTGCTCTTTTGAAAACATAACCAAAATGAATAATATGGAAATTATTAATTTATAGGGTGTCAAACGCTTTCTCAACAGCGTGACGGACGCAATGGGACCAAATGTTCGTATTGCCATTGACAATATGGCTGAGGCCGAGGGATTAACTGCAACTGTATTATGTCATCTCGGTACGTACGTAAGTTACCATCCACGAGTCTCGTTCATTTTACCGATTCGAGTTTTCAGTTTTAAATTTTTACAGTAAATGTCAAATCTAACTTTTTCTGCTACAGTAAAAAATTCTCAGAAAATGTCATATCTCAGCTCGAATTGAAAACTCGAATCCGCAAAGTGAACGAGGCCTGTTAACTAAAATTCAATATTTTCAAAGCAAAAAAAAAAAAAAAAAAAGGAAAATCTCACCATATAACTAAGGCATATCGTTAGTGACATGACATTTTGAGTAGTAATTTTAGTTATTCAAATATTTGTGGCCGTAATATGGAACAATTTTTTTTTTTTTTTTTTGAAAAAAAAAAAGTATCACAGAACTTTGTTTTTGACATAATTATACTAAGAAACCATTAAAGCAATATAGACCCTCCTCATCGTCACCGCAGAATGGAAAGATAAAGGGATGCCCTTTACCAGCGGTTGTAGATTTTTTGAATGTGAAGAAGTTGCTGGTGGAAGGCTCCTCATAAGGTATTATGTTAGTTGTTATCACTATCGAAGAATGCATTTTGACATATGCATGTTCTTTTCAATAAAAGTGAATTTTATGTGAGAAAACTATTATAGTAAAAAAGTTAAATTTGAATTTTTACGAGAGAAAACACTATAACAATAAAGTTTGAGCTGTGATCCAAGTATGTGTGAAAAGAACATATGCATTTCTCTCATATACTTGACTAAACAAGAATATACGTTTACTAGGAAAATAACTGGCTTGGAAGAATTGCCACTGAAACCTGGTGATTTGTTATTGGTATGGATGTATATGATGGCATGATGCGCAATAAGTTTTCCTTTCTTTCTTTCTTTCTTTCTTTCTTTTTTCCTCCTTTTATTTATTTATTTATTTATTTTTTTGCTCGTTTAATCTGACTGTTTTTCCCTTTCCCTCTCAAATATGTGTAGAAACTATTGAAGGCAGTTACAACTTTTTTTGATCTCTATCCAATGGCAGCTAATGGTACGTGTAACATCTTCTGTCCAAATATTACATGAGATGGAATCCAAATTTTTGCCTATAGAAACGTACTCACAACATTCGGTACAGAAAAGAGAGAAAATTAGAGAAAGAAAAGAAACCTTATTTTATTTTATTTTAGGGGCGGAGCTGCATTGAGGCGCTTCTTCTATTTTTATCCTTCAAAATGTTTTTATTTTTTTTTACTATTTTTATTGCTATCCACCTGCAATCTAAATATACTCATATTTAAAATTTGAAACTCCAATAAACCAAATATCAAGTATAAACTTAAATTTTTGGGACAAAATTTTAGAGAAGTGAATCAAATTCCATTACAAACTTAGTTCATTCAAAAGAAAAATAAAAAAGATACTAAGGGTCCATTTGGTAGAAGAGATGGATTGGTGGAGGGATAGATAGGATATGAAGGGAGGGAATGTGGGAAGTGAGGGAAGGATTGAGAGTTTCCTCGAAGTTGTTTGGTATGATAAGAAGAAAGATAATTACTTTCCTTTCTATTGTTTGGTATTAGAAGAAAACAAGAAGGGAAAGATTTGATTTTATTGATAAAGTTACGTATTTACCCTTATATTGAAAGTAATTAAATTTACTTGAAATCTTTTATTTTTATTGTATTTAAAATTGATTTGCTTTATAATACAAATGGACACATATATGTAGACATATTTTATTTGTGTCTATATAATGTAAATATATAAATGTGTATCAACGTTATATTAAAAAAGGAAAAATGGTCAATTTGGGAATAATGGTCAAAATATCTAGAAGTGTTTAGGAAATTCTTAAATTGACACATGGCAATTTGAGAATAATGGTCATTTTTTTCTTTAACCATTTCCAATCTGCCCATTTTTGGAAGGATAAGAATTTGTGGGCCCTAAGGGATTTACAACTCCTTGCTCTTTCCCCTTCTCTCCTCTTTCCATCCTACCAAATAAGGTTGAATTTCACTTCCAACTCTTAATCCATCCATCTACCATTCTTTCCCTTGTACTAAACACACCCTAAAGTAGACAAAATTGATGTAAAAAAAAAAGATAGACAAGGTTAAGAAAACATCGTTATTTTGTAATTTTAGTGCAAAATTTTGATTTCACCTGTCCCTGAAAAAAAAATACCTAGCTCTGTCACTAAGTAGTACTAGAGTGAAAAATTATGGTAATATAGGGTTTATAATTTACACTACTTACAGGGAGAAAAACACATGGACACACGTTTTCAGAAGAGAATGGGAAAAATTACAAATATAGAATTTACTCTAATCAACTATATATACATAGAATTCTCGAGCAAAAAAAAAAAAAAAAGAAAAAAAAAAGAACTATATACATAGAATTTGGTGAAATTAACTGCAATTGCTATTTTAAAGCATTAATGCTTTTCTTCGAGTTATGCAGGATTGCTTGCGAAATCCCACGGCACACACGAAGGACTTGATAAGCTTTTGGACATGCTTCGTGGGAGACGTCAAAGTTAATTATCTTCTTAATCTGATATGTATTAAAAATAAAGTTCAAAACTTTGCCCTTTAATGCTACTATCAAATATATCGTCAAATTTGCTTTTTAATATCACAACTATCTGAGATTTGGGTACAAAGAATATATTTTTCCTACGTAAATATAGTTTAATGTATGTGACGACCTCTTATATATATGATGACATTAAAAATTCGCATCAGTGGTTGAAATATGTGTAGTACTATAGAATTCTCTGTTATGATGATTGTTGTGGCTTTTAAAATAATTGTTGCTATTGTAACATGAAGCAGCTACGCGTTTAGTAAACCATATATTTGAAAGTGTTGTTACCTCTAAAAGTGGTGCTAAAGTGTTTGGTAAATGGTAATCCTAAATTGTTAAAATGTTCTCGTTCATTTTACTGATTTGAGTTTAGAATTCGAGTTTTATTATAGTAAAAAGCTCTCAGAAACAGTCACATCTAACTTTTTATTATAGTAAAAAATTCTCACATAAAGTCACATCTCAACTCGAATTAAAAACTCGAATCAGTGAATTAAACGAGCCATGGAGATATGGTTGAGTACCTCTTGGTAACCAGTTGGTCGACCACCAGACTAAAATTGCAAAAACCTTAACCTTGACCTTTATACATGGCCCTAAAAATTAAAAAACCTTTCATTTGTGGGTATCCTGTGCGTCTAACAAGTAAAAAAGAATACTGAACATTTATGCTTAAATAACAAAATAAAAATCATATGAGATTGCATACAAATACATACACATTATATAGAGATAATTTTTTCCTTTTTGAAATTGCATGTACCTTTTTTTTTGAAAAATTTAGCTTGGGATTGCGAATAAAAGCGTATTCATTATATGTTTCAAGTATTCATTAACAGAATTCCAACAATTATACTGAGAGAAGAAAGAAATGGGCTCTACTTGTATGCCTCGTTACATTACCGAGAAATGCTTATTCCTCTAAGCCCTCAATTCGAGCTAAGAGTTTGAGAAACCACCTTTGAGCTGAAGGCATACCGATATTACGAGTCATGTTGTTTAGATGATATTACGAGTCATGTTCTTTAGATGTCTTTGAGCTAAAAAGGGATAAAGAGACAAATACTTCTTAGAATTAATGCGTGGATTTAAATTTTTACTTTTTATTCTTAATTAATGTCTTAATCAATAAATTATATTAGTTAAAATGACATTAATCAAGAGAGATGTATAGAAATTCAGACTTTTCTTGCTAAAAATATGTCGAGGTTTTCAATTTAAGATCAGTAATGCGGAGAGTTGACTTTGACTGCTAAATAGTAAGATATAATGGGCTAGAATTCCAACTAGAAAGTAGAATAATTTTAACTATAGGCGCAGCTTGTAACGAACGTCTTCCGCAACCTAGGATGAAGTCAATTGCACACTTTATGATGAAATTTAAAGCTTTAGGACATGTTCTTTTGATATTTTTGAGTTATGTAATTTGAGTATAGATTTTGAGTTGAATTTGAGTGATAACTTGAGTTGAAGTTCTAATTTGAGTTTGTGTTTGGTTGTGTACATTTGAGTTATGGTTTGAGATAAAAATCTTTTTAAGTTTGTGTTTGAGTAAGTCAAAACTTGAATTTGTATTTAGATAGTATTTTAATAAAAACTCAATGCTGATGAAAAATTTTAATAGGGTATATGGGTCTGGTTTTATTCGTCTTTTTGTTGTCAACGCATAGAAAAAAATCATCTCAGTCAGAATTAAAACGAAAAAGTTATAACATTTTTAAGAATAGAAAAAATATTGTTCATTAACTTGAGTTCGAGTTTCTGAACTCGAGTTGAAGAGGAAACTTGAACTCGAGTTTTAATCTCAAACTCGAGTTCAAACTTAAAAGAATATGAACTCGAATAAAGTTGTAACTCGAGTTGCTTTTTTTGAATTTTTCACTAAAAAACAGAGTTGCCAAACATGCCCTTAATTATATGGGTACATTTAATATTGTTACTGTTTTATCTAAAAAATTGAAAGGATGGAGATGGTGCCACGTAATAGAGAATGCACGTGCAGTTTAACAAAAAGCGTAACGTTAGCCTATGATTAATCAAATCTCGTTCCTTGTACTTGACTTATAAATTTAAATCTTTAATTATATGGGTAATATTCAATATTATTGTTTTATGATCTAAGAAATATGATTAATCATATTTTTCATCTTTTGTTGATCCCCAAGAACGAGTGATCGAAATTCGAATAAAGTACAGTGTATAAGTCCATGCATGCCGACTTTGTTTGTTACATTTCTCGGGCTAAATTACTAAAATGCCCATATTCATGAAAGGGCCTATATGACTTGGACTTCAAATAATAATAAAAAATAATGATCAAATTTATCTGTGAAAGTATTGAAGTTATAAGAGAACTTCATCACTTTTAATACTGCTAAATTGGTTTCATAATGAGTCTTCTAAAATTAGAAAGAAGCCGAAGAAAGATTACATATTAGAATGCACTACTAAAAAAAAAAAAAAAGATTAATATGATTCATAATAGACGACAATTTCCTTTAAATAAAATCAAGTTAGGCTCTTTTCATTTACTACAAGGCCCCTAATAATTTCTTTATTTCTTGATTATGAATATGAGGAAGATGACACTAATGATCTCCTTATTTATTTAAAAAAAAATAACTAAAGCAATAATTAATATGAAATTTGTGTGATTGGAACATTAATTTTTCACTACTGATATTATTGTTATTTTAATTAGTAGTTAATTTTTTAACAGCTTGATTTATAATCAAGAGAACTTTTATGCGTCGCACTATAAATTCTTAACTTAGACACTCATAAAATATATCATTAAAAAATTAATCTAACAGTTAAAATGAAGTGTAAAAAAAAAAAAAAAAAAAAAAAAAAAGAAAGAGGGCGGGATAGTTTTCACTCTAGAAATCAAAAATCTCCGTACAAGGTCATATTGGCCATTTGGACATCTATCGAATAGGAAAAGTACACTAATGACAACCAAGAAGCTTTGACTTATCATTCTTCTTATTCACCCAATGAAGAAACGCCACGACCGACAGTGTAGCCACGCTCAATCCGCCTTCTAAAAAGCAACCCTTTTCATAAAAAATACATATAAATTAAAAATAATTATAATCTCATAATTCTAATTTATGAACTCCTTAATATCAACCCCTTCCTTGTTCCCAACGGGTCCCCAACCGACCACGCCCATATCAACCCCCCCAAACTCACTCTCCAAATCCCACACAATTCACCATCAAAATCATCCAAACATTTTCGTAATTTCTTACATATTGAAATGGAGGAAATTAGATATTGGAAACCCGTCATTGAAATGGCTCCTCCCTGCCCTCGCTGCGCTTCTTCCAACACCAAGTTCTGTTACTACAACAACTACAGCCTCTCTCAGCCTCGCTACTTCTGCAAAGGTTGTCGGAGATACTGGACCAAAGGCGGCTCTCTAAGGAACGTTCCGGCCGGCGGAGGTTGCCGGAAGAAGCGCCGCTCCGGCCCGAGAGTTCAACCTTCTAATTCGCTTAGTTCTTCTTCTCACGACTCCAATGAGGGTTCCAATGGCGACTCGGGTTCTCAACCGGCCGGTTCGGATATTGACCTAGCAGTTGTTTTCGCTAACTACTTGAACCAAAACCCGAACCGGCTCAAGCAAGATTCGGTTCGGGAACAGATTTCTCACGACGAGAAAATTGAAGAAGATCAGAAAATTCATGAAGAAATAAATATGGGGATTGATGGAGTCGGCCAATTTGAGTTGCAGAATTTTCTTCGAAGTGATCATGAAGTTGTGCAAGATGTAGTTTGGTCTGATCCGATAAACTTTTCTTCGTGGCAACCGATGGCTAATTTGCAAGAGATCGAAACTTTTCCTTCAACGAACGATATCTGGAGCTTCTTTGATTCTTCTGGTTTTGACGTTTTCTCTCAAGATCTTAATTTAGATGCGTAAATTTAAAACCTTCCGTTATACTTTGCTTCTTTCATAATTCAGGGGAGTCTTACAGTTTTATAACATTAATTAAGTTCCATCAAAACATGGAAATTAAAGTTCATCACACATAGACATAATTGTCGGAAAAATTTGATATATACAATAAAATGACTCATCCTTTACTGTCAAAGTTGTTCGTTCACATACATTAGTTATTTACATTCTACAACTTAGCTCTCTCTCTCTCTCTCTCTCTCTCTCTCTCTCTCTCTCTCTCTCTCTCTCTACTGATTGCAGCTTAGCATTTGTGTGTGTGTATGTATTCCGGCTTGAAATTGTGTAACATAAGTTCAGAATTCAGATCTACTCCTATTAGCAAGTTGATAATTCATTCAATGTATGAAAATAAACTCTCATATAATTGATTCCACGGAAAGTCTGGAATCAGATTCAACTAAAATAAAATTAAAAATAATAACAATATTATTATTTTGATACTTTGTGTTTTTGGCAATTTCTGCTCAGAGAGAAATTTACCTATGACGAAATAAGTTCTAATAATATGGACTCCAAGCACATGAACACAATGTAGAGATCGACGTGCACGGCGGGGTCCTCTTCCGCGCACGTGTCTGATATCATATATATATATATATATGCATTAATTTTGCTTTTTTCAGATTTTTATTTTTAGGCGGGGTCCTCTTCCGCGCACGTGTCTGATATCATATATATATATATATGCATTAATTTTTTTTTTCAGATTTTTTTTTATTTTTTTTTAATATGCTTTTAACATAGTTACTTTCTATTTAGTTAAGTAGAAGAATAGAAAGTCATTTTCCAGAAAGACACTCGGGATACCGGAACAAAATTATCAAAAATACAAGGTATTACTTTGTAATAATTGAAAAAAAGAAAGAAAGAATGTACCTATTAATACCATTTTTTCCAAAACTAAAAATAGTCTAAAAACTCGTGTTATTTGAACCCTAGTTGGGTTAGACTATGGGCCCTACATTTTATTACAAATCTGCAGATACGAAAATAGTTCAAGGTCAAAACAATGTCACAGAGCACCGTACCGTCCACTAATGAAAAGCATGCAAAATGAGATAAACAAGTGGATTCACATTTTATTAGTGCACTAAAGTATTTTTCGAAATCATGATATTTACACCTTTTCTTAGGGTTGTGTCGATGCATATGTTTTGAAAAGTAAAATGCAAAAATATCATATCTCGTCCTCGCCGATTTGAATAGAATTATCTTAATTGTTTATAATGGGTGTTTACGTACTCATGAATATTAGTTATTTGTTTGGGCATTTAAATTCGACTTTGAGAAGCTAAAGACGGAGATGCTATGAAAGTTGAATTATGGAGAAAGGATACGAACATTGCCTAGAAATTAGAATTTTTCCACATAGAGGAAAAAAAAGAGAATTTCTCTGATAAATCCCCTTGTCGGTAAGACTTGATTTCTGATTGTTAGATCTGATCAAAATTACATCAGATTAAAAAATTATGCATAACAGATAATTTTTAATACGGATTTAATGATTAAAAGTTAAGAACTACCGATAGTTTATTTTTTCTAATCCTACCAGATAAACTCCCAAAAAAAAAAAAAAAACTCAATTGGAGCTGCTGAAACAAAAATTCTCCCATGTCCTTCAGTTCTCCTCCATTTGCTAATTTTGCTTGCACATCTACTAGTGTTAATGACCTCTTCTCTTAGTGCGCACTCAAGTACCCCCTAAGGAACTTAAGCAAATGCTTAAGGCACACACCTTTTTAAGCTTTGATTAAGACCCATATCTTGGAAGTTGGAATAATAATAATAGTAGTCTAATTTTTAAGCATTATTATATTAAAATTTTGAGAAAAATCATTTTTTTTTTCTAATTATAGCTAATAAATCCTCTAATTTTAAACCCCTTCTTTTTTTGGAGATATCAAACTTCAAATGTAGAGCATAATAACCCCCGAAAAAATCGAGGAAGTACTTTTTTTTTAATATGAAGTTGCTCATTTCTTATCAAAATCTCAATACAGGAAAAAAAAAAAAAAAAAAAGTATACCCATGTAAAACAAGATAAAAACATGGATTCCAATTGTATGCTATTTATCTCTGTATTGTGATTTTGATGTGTCTCGGTGAACTTGTTTTTTCTAGTTGAATATTTACATTCAATAACAGAGATCGAAGCGATATCTTAACTTTTCTGAAGATGAAAGAGAAAACCTTTGTCCTGTAGTGTCGTCTGTCAGCGGCTTTTTCCATCCCTTATTGTGTTCTTCGCTCTGTCCCTCTCAAACTCAGAGGCCATCTTGTCATCAGAAGCGTCTTTTGTGTAGGTCAAGATTTTTTTTGTCTTTTTTCTAGTTTTTAGTTTTCAATTTTTCATATTATTGTAATAGAGGTATATTGATTTCGTCGTTTGTGTGTATCTGCCATGTATTTTGGTTATGTTTGGCTTCAGGATGTTTAGTTAAAAGATTTAAATTATGATTTGAATCATGATTTATAGTTATTACATTATTTTTTTTTATAAAAAATACACATAAATTAAAAATGATTTTAATCACATAATTTTAATCTATGAACCAAACGTCCTCTTAATATTTAATAACGAGGATGGTTTCCCTATTCTACGTGCAGTTTGTATTTTTAGTTTGCTAGATTTGTTAGTATGCTGCTTATTTTCCTTTATATTGCCAAAATAGGAGAATGATTTTAATATACCGAAGGGAAATGCTTTACTTATCTTATTTCTTTGCCATGATTTAGTAGGATGTGTACGTTTTATATTGGGTAGATTAGAATATTTTGTGCAAAATTTCTTGGTTCTCATCTCGAGAGGCCGGGATTTTATATCATAACTACTGATAGCATAAGGCTAATTCGAAATAGCTTACAGGCCTAGTTTGATGTGTCAAAGAGGAGCGCTTGTATTGATTGTATGTAAATAATATTCCTTTTGTTGCTTAGTAGTATATGTTGCCAATTATGTGCATGTTTGATCTAACATAGAAAGAAATATTCTGTATTCGGTTTTTTTTTTTTTTCAAATGCATATATTGTAAAAATATTGCTCGCACACACACTTTAGAATTTCTTACTCTTACAAAATTGCATAATAAGAAGTTCTTTAGACATAACTTGGTCTTAGATTGTATGAAAACGAACTTGTTGCAACTGGGTATTCAAATCCAAAATTGGACAAAGGTTGTGCCAACATCACATGGTAACGCGATGGGTTACATTTGGACTGAACCTTGGAATTACTTGTAGGCTCGGTCACCCACTGATCAATCCAAAGTCACCTGTCGATGGATCGATACTCCTCAAGTTGCCATATTTATAAGAGAAAATTGTTAAATTTACTCGTACAGGAGTCTGGGTTTTATTATTTACTCTTTTGACTAATATAGTTATTTGATTAAAAAAATATATTAATCAATAATAAAGAGAAAAAATTTAGAATCATGCACTTTGAGGAGTATTTGTCTCCTTTATCCTATTTCTAATCATTGGACACCCGGCTATTTTATCACAAATTTATTAATGGTTTTCTTTTTCAGAAATTTCACATAATCGGATTGATAATAAAAGAAAAGGGATGTATTTTTGGATTCCTACATGTAAACAAACATGAATTTTCGGGTTCATAACATAACTCTCAAAGAAAAATTGGCAAGTTAGAGCCAAATCCCGTAAAAGAAAAAAAAAAAGATTGTAGTGATTCAAAAAGTAAAAATTTATTTACCTTTTGCCATAATAAAAAAAAACCGAGATAGAAATCTCAGTCGAATCTCAGTGGCTTTAACTCAGCAAAACAACTCGTATTGGTTGACTGATCGTGATGACTAATAAGTGTCCTTCACATTAAATCTCATCAAAATTAGTCTCAGATTAATCAAATTGAACGAAAATTATCCTCAAATTTACCTAGTTATAGTAGTTTAATAGTTTAGCGCCTGCATGGTAAATTACTAAATTCCGGTTCTATAATTTTTTTTTTTTTTTTTTTTTGGCTATTTGCTTACCTTCCGCAAAACGATAGTTTTTTATATTTACCTCTCCGAATCTATTTCCCTCCTTCACCCATTAGTCCCCAACTATTTCCCATACGTTAGCTTAGCCAATTTACATTTTTGTGTTATCTTACTGGTGCAAGATTTAAAATCATCTAAACAAGATCATAATAACTAATCTAGTCTAAAATCCGAAAATGTCACAAAATTTTTATTTGGGATTTAGGCATACCTCATATTCCATTGGACAGCGGAAAAGCGTTGTCAACAGTCGCTGAAATCCGTCAATGGGCGGCCAAAATCCATGAAGAACCTGCAAAAGGAAGAAGAAATTGGCAAGAGGAGCCGTTGAGCTCCTCCTTATCTCTCCCTCTCTGCCCCTTTCACGTTGGCAGCCCACACCCACAAGCACAAGCCCCCTTTTTACTAAAGAAGGGGTGTTGCACACATAAACCGAATAAGCCTAAGGGCTTTTAAGCAATATTCAATGGAGAGGGTATTTAATCTAATGGGTTGACCAAATATTAAGAGTTATAAGGAGTTTATATGCCTAAAGCGAGTTAATAAAATAATAGTTCATTCTATTATGGACTGATATTTAACATATATACATGTGTTAATTTACATTAACACAATTATCTATAAAATATTTTAATTAATTACAGAGTAAATTGTTATAATTATGAAAGTCTACGTAAAAATATTCCAACAACTGGTACGTCAATCTTACATGTCACACGATGTCTGTATTTAAAACTCTGCGTGCCATATATGACCCTTTCCAACTTATACTAAACAAATATATGAAAACTTATGGAGTACAGGTAGACATGTTCAAACACCCATACCACTACGAAACCGGCCTAGGCCTTTGTATATATACGTACATATATATACACACACACAACCCCTTCACTTAATATAATACCCAGACAAGTAGGTCGAGAATTTTATCAATATTATATTTTTCTCCCCTTTTTTTTTTCTTTGTCCATTTAATTATCTCTAATTTCCTTTCCATTGACTTGCTCTCTTCAAATATTTGTTGTCAGCTCATTTTATAAATAACAGCCCTCTTAACCTAATGAAACTAGTCTAATTATGCCATTACCCTTTTCGCCATCATCATCATCATCATCATCATCATCACCTGGTTCTTCATTTCCTTCCTTCTCTTCCTCTTCGTCTTCCTCTTCCTCGAGTTCTTCTCCGGCTACCGTCCGATCTCCGGCATGGATCCGTCCGACTTTCCGCCCGGAAAATTTCCAAGAAAAGAGCTCCAAGGCCCACGCCCAACCCCTCTAAAGATTAGCAAAGATTCATACAAGATCCGAAAGCCTCCCCTCGCACCGCAACCGTCGCAACCGCCGGCACGACCACCCCGCCAGCCCGTAATAATCTACGACGTCTCCCCGAGGACAATCCACACAAACCCTAGTGATTTCATGGACCTAGTGCAACGTCTAACTGGCTTACCGTCCTCATCCAATAATGGTACTGCTAGTACTAGTATTACTACTACTGCTGCTTCTACTGCCGCTTCTACCGCTAACCCTAATTTCTACGAGAGCCAAGCCCTAACCGGTGCAATATCGCCGGCGGTTCGATACGCGACGATAGAGAAAGCAAAGTCTCCACAAGGAAATCTTGATCATGATCATGATCATCCTCATCATCATGATCATGATCATATGAGTGGTTTAATGGAAGGGATGGAGATTATGCAGGATCAGTACAATAAGGGTTTGTTCTCCGGAGTCTTGTCGCCCGGGCCCGCCTCGCTTCCTCGGATCCCTCCAAGCTTCTTCTCTCCACCGTCCGATAGCTTCTTCCATGATCTGAGCCCTCTGATTAACGCCGCCAACAGGAATTTCCTCGAAGGTGGTTTCATGCCTAGCCCTGCAGCTGCAGCTTCATACTTCATTTCTCCTCGGATGACTTCTACAAGTACTCCTTCCATAGACTTCTTATTCAACAACATTTTCCCAGATAATTAATTAATTTGTGACTTGATAATTGTTTCATTATTTCATTCGTTTTCTTTTCTTGCTTCTATGGTGATCAAGAAAATAAAGAAAACGGCATTGTGGGGCCCTAAAGAGAGAAAATTCAATCGGCCTCTTTTAGGTGGGAAGCAAGTTGGCAATTAATTCTTATACAGGCCCTTTTATCTTTAATTTGTGGCTTTTTTTTCTTTCTTTAATTTTTTGTGGGCCATTAGACAGAGTGTACGTAGGTTTGGATTAATGTGTTGCGATCATAATGATGATATACTGATGTATTCCTTTTTAGATTCCTTTTTCCGTCATACAACAAAACTTAATGGAATATTCTTGCCATTTCTTTCATACATATTTGGTGTCTTATATCTGTTCGTTAGAACCAATTTTAATTGTATATATTAAGTACACGTAATTTTTTTTGTATATTAAGGTGTTGTTTGGTTCATGAGTTTAAAATCATGGTTCATAATTCTTATTTTTAAAATTTAAATTTTTTAAAAGAGAAAAATATTATAGTAAAACTAAGAATTATGATTTTAAATTAAGCTGAACCCTTCAAACAAACGTCACTTAAATGAGTTTGATGCATTTAATTTGTATCTATTTATGCGACGAATTACATATACATATATATAGCCATGATAGAAATAATTATCCTATGTAGTTTTTATATCTTAAGGGCGGCTATATCTTGTTTAAATATTTTCTGTCAATGATTAAATTGGTATAACAATTTATTCTTTTTTCCAATTTCTCCTGAAAGCCGACAAAATATAGTTGTACATAGTTCGCGCCTCTTTATGTTTGTACTTTAAGCATTCAAATTTGATATAGAATATTCGTGATGAAAACAACTTATAATGTTCATTTGTAATGAAAGACAGTGCTCTGGTTAATTATATATGGTTTCTTGGTTAATTCAGGTAAATAGTAAGAATATTTGTCAGAGTATATACCGCATGTCTTCGACACTGAAGGAAATAATATCTATGGAGGTATTCAAAATGTAATTAATAAATTGATTTACTTCATTATTATCAATTAAGTCCTTCGTATATTTTTCCATTTGGTGATCATCTGATCTCTTTAGTCTTCTCTTCTAAAACATTAACTAATTAATTAATTATCAAAGGATTTGTCAAGCAATTCAGTAAAGAAGTTTTAGAAACTAAATGGTAGGGTTTCATGAAACAAAAATATTTTAAACATTGAATTAGCTTTCAGTGGGAAAGGATTAAATATAAACATTAATAAAAACGGGAGAAATAATATTGATCAATTTATGTGATGGAAGTGAAATTTTTTATGCGATCAACAAGAGTTGTGAGAGTTCTAATGGTGATGTTAAAGTGATCAGGAAAAACTGTGAAACTAGTTACACGAGCATTTGCATATAGATTTCCTTATAAAGATGTATGTCAAGCAGTCAAAAAATAAAAATCTATTTTTGCTTTAAATGACTATTTTAAGTACGAAGAACTAAATTACTAAATCACTAAATCATTAACTTTTCTTACAAGCAAAAAAAAAAAAAAAACTAAATTATGTAGCACTGTGCTGTGTTAATCTATAGTTTGATCTCAATAGAGATAATTAGGATCTCAAAATATCATAATAATCACGACTAAGAGATTGGTTGATGTGATTTTTCGCAAGCGTACGAATCGCACAAGTAATATAATGAGTGAATAAGATATCGTTTCCATGGAGACTAGCTTAACAATTATTGAAATTGATATTTTCAACTTTATCTAGACAAATAAAATCTCTATAAAAGATCAAAATTGAAAAGTAAGTAAAATAAATTAACACAAATTATACGCAAAGTAATTATGAAAAGAGATCATTGCAAGAAAACACTAGAGCATACAAGTTTCACCAAGACAATTCATATTCAATTCCAATTATTCGCAAACATCACCTCTCATTCATGTAGTAGAACAAAAAATTCTAATTTATCTAATAGTCCTTCTGGAGATGCTATTAAAAATATTTCTAACATGTAAATTCACTATCGCAAGATGTGAATCCCACCATCCTAGAAATTCATTAAGTTCTTTGATTTTTTTAAAATTGCTATCGCAAGTCGTATTACTATCTCTCAATGTCCTACGCACCTTACGGCTCCTTTTATTAGAAACTATTCCTAAAAACTCCTTCTGGGGTTTCAATTTAGGTTTTCAATTCAATTCAATAAGTGATCAGTTTATTGAAAGTATTAAGAACAATAAAAGAAACACATTCATGAATAGAAAACTCTTAATGAATAAACTTCATTAAAAGAAAATAAATGAAATCAAATATTCATGTCTTGGCTACACTTGTAACCCTAGTCTAAAAATTTAGAACATAATTGAAAAAGAAAACATAATGACAATAATAATAATTAACATAAGAAATTCAGGAAAGAATAAAACTGTTTGGCGAAGTTGAAGTTGAACTTCGTTCTTGAACGAATCCTCACCTCCTTCGTAGAGTCGTCTTCTCCCCTTCTTTTCTTAGCCAAAAAATCCTAGAAAATAACCCTAAAAATCCTATTTATAGTGTTTGGAATCATAGTGGTATTTTTGTAAATCTTTGAAACTCAAATGAAATCAAGTCGGCAAAGTTTTCGAAGTAGCGCAACGGCCCTACTATTTGGGCTGCGGCGCTGAGCAGAAAGATGCCAAATATCCGCCTTGCTTCGAAGTAGCGCCACGGCTTTGGTTTTGGGCGCTGCGGCGCTAAGCGGAGAAGTTCTTCATTGCGTAAAATAGCGCCGTGGCTTGACTGCACAAAGCCTAGGCTCTCTTCTCTCGGATTTTTATACTGCAAATGGACTATTTCAGAGCCTAGGCGCCATCTTTCAAGGCTGCGGCTCTCCAATATCAATTTAGCTCCAAGAATTACTCTAATACTCGCCTACGAACTCCGAATGATACTAATCTGCAAAACTAATTAAAATCACATAAATTCGCTATTAAAATTACTCTAAAACTAACATAACACTCTATTAAAAGTATCAAGACAAACATAAATCCAATATATCACTGGTACACCGGTAAGAATTAATTTATTCCCCTCTCAAGATGAACCCAGGTTCAAGTCTTGATAGCTACAATATAAAAGGTCTTGTTTAGTCAACAGACCGTACGACCTTGGCCACCCATGATGGTTTAGATGAAACTAAGCTCATCGTTCAAGTAGAATTAGATAGATGAGACTCAAGTTTTTGTTCCATTATTGAACCCAAGATTTATTGCAAATTAAAACTTTATGATCATATATAATCATCGTTTAAACGGGGAAAAAGGCATCTGCCGTGATTAATTAATAATTAGTATATTTTATAAACATAGTAAGCGCCGACATTCTTTCAAGAAATTTAATTATATGTTTTTTAATAATCCCAAAATAAGATGCATGGAGATGTGAATCCTGTAACCAGTTCTACCAAAAAAAAAAAAAAAAAAAGATGAAGATATATGTGCATTGTGTGTATAAAGTTGATATAGCAAAGGTAATTGGGTCAGTTGAAACTAATGAAATTAAAAATTTCTTCAATGATTGAAAACGAGAAAAGAAACAAACAAATACATGCTACAAAGTAGACTCCGTCCATTCAGCTCCCCCGACAAAATTCAGTTACAAATGTCATTTCCAAATAACGTCATAAATACAATTGAATTAAGAGGCTAATTAATTTGGAATCCTTAATCAGTTATTCGCTAATCACTATGGTTTTTTCTGGAAATGAAAACTGAGAATAAATCGTAGCAATAAAATTCTATTAATTGCTCTTAATTCGATCATCAAATCAATAGTAACATTGATAATAATAAGCAGTCATAGTTTTTTTTTTTTTTTTAATGGGGGGCGGCGCTAAAGAAGCAGTCAATAATGAATTGATCGGCTAAAATGACAAATGTATAGCAAGAAAAGTCATTCGGAGTTCATTATTTCCTGTGTACCAAAAGAACAACTGAACAACTTCAGACGCCGTCTAATAAAGGTTTCAGTTTCGCATTTATAGTGAAAAATGTCAGTTATATTTCTTCCAAATTGTAATTTGACAAAAAAAAAAAAAAAAAAAAAAAGTTCCCAACTTCCCATTTTGGACAAAGTACGATATCAGGTTACAATTTTCTTCTTAGATTTTGAGAGAAATATTGGATACAATGTCCAACTGGACCGGGTCAGCCTAATCGGGCTTTTTAGCTAGACTTGACCTTGACTTTTTTCACTGAAGAAAAGACCATCTCCACGCGCGCTTACTATTACAAAAGGGATTTTGTCCTTCTAGGTCCCCTGAGGCCAAGACATGCTGAAACGGTTTTTTTCGGGTATGACTTTCTTAATTTTTATCTATTAAATTTAGTTAAAATTATATTAAATTAAAAAATATATAAAATTAACAATTTTTAATATAAATTTAACCGCCGATAGTTAATTTTTTTAATCATAACAAAATAACTCTCAAAATATAAATCAGAAAAAGGAAATGAAGATCACATTCTTAATGTTCGTACACTTGATCATTTGGCTCTTTTAAATTTGTGTTTTTGTTGTATTCAAAATGCTCCGAAACCATATTATTAATTATTAATATCATCCGACTCCCGAGCTTTGAAACGCACCACTCAATTCTCTTGAACTTCGTTTGTGAAAATGCTTTCCATTTCAATTTCAATTATTATTACAGTTTAATTTTTGTATTTTAAAATTACTACTGTAAATTTACACACACCAGCAGAAATGAATCTCCCAATTTTGTAAGAGATTAAAATTGAAATTATTTAAATAATTTGAGAAATCCACACCCAATCTATTATTTTATCTTTTTTCTTCTACCAATTAATCATGGGTCGTAATATCATTTTGTTCGTCTCATCACTCATCTCTTTGAGTACTTTTCATTTTTCCATGGGAATTTCTCCAGAAGGATTAAAAAAATGGAACCATCTATAGTTTTATTTTTTCAGTCGTTAAATTTTTATCAAAAACTGTCTATTTTGTATACTTTTTTAATCTAATTTAATTTTGATCAAATTCAACAGTTAAAAAAATAATCTTACAAGTAAGACGGACAATCAATTTTTTCATCCTAAGTTGGAAGGCAAAACAACAATATTAGTAACCGAATTCAGTAGGTTACTTTTAAAAATGATAATTATTACTTAAGATATTTTATTTATTTATTATTTTTTTTTTTGTTGTAATGTTACGGTGAATGATTACACACACCCTATCCAAACTTTTGGTTTCTCGAAGTCTTTATCAAATATAATTAATTCAATACACGTGCTTATTTTTTTTATGGTTTCTTTCATATATTATTTTGTCGTATGCCAAACGCTGGAGTGGTTACATTGAAGAAAGTATTAAGTACGGAATAAATAAATAAATAAAGATCAACCCACAAAAGATTAAAAGTCGTATGATTGTTATCTATAATTGTGAAGGGCTTTGAAAGTAGAAATTATTGACCTTAACAGTCTAGATTAGCTTAATGCAAAATTCCAAATTGCATTTAACTTTTTCTTCTTTAACCTAACACACGGAAACGTGCAAGAAATATGCTAATGAAAATGATTTCCAAAGCTCCCACTACGATAACTTTTCTTTTATTTTTTATTTTTTTTTCAAGCGCAGTCAAATTGCAGCTTTCCGTTTTCCAAAGTTAAAAAAAAAAATTTGAAAAGTACACACAAGAGGAATAAAAGTAATAAAATGATAACAATATCCCTAATAAATAAACATTTCGAAGAAAATATCCACTTATGCTCCGGCCCAAACCGTTGTTCAGAATAAATGGAGGGAAAAAAAGAAAGTAGAAACGATCAACTGAATTGTTCTATTTTTATTACTCATACTAAAATGATTAGTCACGCCTGAATTTGCTCATTTTTCACTCTAAACAATTTGCTAATTTTTTATAATAAAAATAAAAATTAAAAATGCTCTCCTGTATTACTTGCCATCGCCCATATCCTGTGTCTTTAAAGATCACAAACGAGAATCGATGCATGTGATTATAACATGGCCGAACTACTTTTTAATTATATTATATGGTATAATTTTTCCTTTGTTTACGTGAACTTACCTTTGTAATGACAGATGTCCTCATCATGTAAATGGATCGGGACATAACTCAGTCGTCTATACTAAAGTCAAACTATGGATAAACATGATTCTCTCTTTTACAGCCATTTGCTAGAGAATTTCTACAACATGACACTTGTCCTTTTTAACTACAGATAGGTAATTTTAACTGTTAGATTAAGATTTAAACGGTTTATATTGTGAGTGTTTATATTAAAAATTTACAATGTATTGTATAGAAATACTATAACTACAGATCATTAAAAACTAGAGTTGTTCAAAACAATCGTGAAATTGACACCGATCGCTAACCGATTGAAGAAAACTGATCAAAAGCGAAACCGATTACCGTTCGACACCGATCGACCACCACACATGGGCAATCGGTTGTCAATTCCGGTGGCCGAGGTCATCGGTTAAACCGAACCAACCGACCACTATTACACACTTAAAAAAACAAAGTTTTGTACAGGTGGAGGTTCAAACCTTCAATCTAAAGGGTAAAAGACCATCAACTAAGCACTGAACAACATTGTTCTTGTTCGTATAATTGTGGTCTCAATAATATTTATTAATATTTTAGTCTTTTCATACTTTTGACATCTAACAACTAAAGTTGCAAGAGTCTCAGATAGAGAAGAGATCAAAAAATACTACCTCAACTAGTCTATATAAATGAAGTGAGTCCTTTCTTGGCCTCACACTTAATATTTTTTATGCTTTATTTTTGGATGGGCTTCAATTAAAGTTTTTTTCTCTTAATTTTGACTATATTAATAGTTGAAATTGATCGAAAAAAATATATAGTTTAAAATACTTGACTTACTAAAAATACCACTTTTAGTGGGAACCGACCACCGGAAACCGGCCATAGTTCGGGCGGTTAACCAACCAAAGTCTCTCCTCTTTGGTTCGGTTTCGGTTTTAAGTTTTTGAAAACTAACGTGGTCGGTTCGGTCACTAAACCGACCAAAACTGTCAATTTTAAATCGACGAACAGTCCTATTATAAACTTAATTCAACAGTCAAAATAATAGTATCTATCGATAGTTGAAAAGACAAGTAATTACTATAGAAAATCTATATTTTTAATAGTTTATTTTTCTTAGAGACTAATTATAAATGTTACGTAGATTGATGCTTTTCGTCCCATTGTTCATGGTAATTTTTGTTCAAAATTATTACCAAGATAATTGCGTAGTTTTGGCATGCAAGGAGCTGAGGCAACAAAAATATACTCAACTTTTTCTATAAAGAAAATTATAGATTCTACTTTTTTTAAGTACTTGACTTACTAAAAATATTACTTTTAAAAAACTATACCCGTTGACTAGTTCTAATCTAAAAAATAAAAATATATAAACTAACATTAAAGAGGAGAAATAAAAGGTACTTCATTTCAATAGATATTTTTAAAAATTACCCGTTTCTGTAATATATTGAAAAACGATTACCCATTTCAATAGTGTTTGGAGAAATCTGATCCTAATGCACCTGACAGTAAACTCATAAGCAGATCAACTTTGCAAATGCTCAACGTAAGAAAATCTCAAATACAATGTCCAATTTATTCAAAATTTTGCATTTAATTGAGAAAACCATTCTCCCATGCAATATTGTCAAACTTTTGGCATATATTACACTTGGTTCTAAATATGACATAGGTATAGCACATGTTAAATTTGCCATTTTTACTTATCAATTGATGTGTTCACTTTTTCACAAAATAATCATAATATTGTAATTTTTAATTACTTGACAATTACAAATTATACTTCCAAAAATTCGAAAGCTTTTAATAAATAAAGTAGATATAATCTAAAATAGCATTATGCATTAGAGAACCAAATAAAATAACACAATAAATGTAATTTTTGTATTTTTTTTAATATGAAGTTTGTTATTAGCATTTGAATTGAAGGCTTTTGGATCAAGCATCTTCGGTGTAAGCTGTTCCATTGGTATGAGCCTAAAATTGTGATGGTAATAGAGAGATTTTGTGGACTATGCACAGTAAAAATTCATATCCAGTATTCATACAACATTCTGCCCCTGCATTTTCTCGGTACTTCAAGACTAAACAGCAACATTGTGGAACATCAGTACTTTTTTTTTTTTGGGTTGAAATACTAACAACAAAAGTTATCACTCTTAAGGCTCTTTTAGAATTTAAAAAAAAAAAAAAAAAGTGTATCTCATTAATTTACAATAGGAGGGTTAAGAGTCAGAACCATATCTACCGCAGCTCTTGCGCAAACAAGTGATCAAACTCTGCCTGTGGTGGTTGGAACATCGAAACTTTTTGTAGTATTTGTTAATCGTCAAGCTTTCTTCCCCCGAAAGACCCCCCATAGATAATACTTCATCCGAAACCCTGCAAACCGATCAACCCGTGGCATAACTTCGTGGTGCTAACTGCGTATAAAGGCTAAACAAAAATCTGAAGGAAAAAGAAAAGGAAAGCTCACTCCTCATATGCATAGGCAAGTCATAAGATGTGAAAACCAAGAGTTCTGCTTCTTTCAACACAGCTCTCATAGCAAGGTCCTCTTTGATCATGCCGTCGACCAGGCTGTTGAAAACATTGTCGTCTCTGCACCCGCACACGACACTCAGTAAATTAAAAAAAAAAATCAAAAGCAAGAAATTGAATGAGAACATGAAGGCTAAGATCACCTTCCATTGTCAGGAAAGAAGTAAAGAGCAATATGATGACAACTTGGCCCAAACATCCGAAAACTTTTAGGCCAAAAGTGAGATCGTTTAGACAATTCAAGAGAAACTTCTTCTGGTAACAACTTTGCCACCTCAAACACTTTATGACATGCCAAGTTGGATAAATGGGCAGCAACTGAGAGTATTTCTGGAGTGTTTAAGTCTCTGTTGCTGATTCTCAAAGTTCCACTGTCAAATTAAATCATATAGTTTACAAACTGTATCATAAATGCAACTTCATGGTAAATTACAAAAAGGCAATAGAATAGAATTTCTTACTTCCAGATTGGGTCAATCATAGGTTGTACATCCAAATAATAATTCTGTTCTAAATTTGAAAGCTTGGGGTCATTAACATCATTTTGAGAAGCTTTTGAAGGCTCATGTTCTTCATCATCTTCAAGAGGCAATCTCTGTCGTTTTCTGAACGTTTGATCCTTATCATACTTGCCTCTGTACTGTAGCTCACTATGATAAGGCCTACTATCACATATCTGAACCTTCGTTTTAGCTACAGAACCAGGGATGGCCTTTTGATAATTATCACGCTTGCCTCTTCCGTCCTGTGGCTCACTACGAGAAGGCCTACCATGTTTACCCACCTCTGCTTTAGCTACAGTACCAGTAATGGTCTTTCTTTGTGAGACATTTAAAGGCTTGGAGTCACTAACTTGATAAGTTTTTTGTTTACTGAACGTCTGAGACTTATCAAACTTACTTCTGTACCGCAGCTCACAACTAGAAGGTGAACTATCATGTATCTGCACCTTCCATTTAGCGACAGAACCAGTTACAGCGTTTTGTTGTGAGATATCCAAAGGCTTGGGGTCACTAACTAGAGAAGTTTTATTGTGTTCGCTGAAATTCTGATGTTTATAATTCCCATCACGTTTCTGCACCTTTGTTTTAGCTACAGAACGAGAAATATCCTTATCTTGTAAGATACTTGAAAGAGTAGGGTCACTAGCGGTAACTTGAGAGGTTTTCACACGCTCAGCCTCTTCATTTGAAAGTACCAATCTCCGCGTTTTTGTAAGCGTTTGATCACTATCACATTTTTCTCTGCTCTTTGGCATATTACCAGAAGGCTCACCGTCACGAATCTGCACCTTGGTTTTATCCATACAACTAGCAATAACCTTATGTTGTAGAATATTTGAAGGCTTTGGGTCACTACATTGCAAAGTTTTGTGCTGTCTTTTGAACTTTTGGTCCCTATCACTCTCCTCCCTGCACTGTGACTTATTACCAGAAGACCTACCATCAAATATTTGCGCCTCAGCTTTAGGTACAGTACAAGAAGTGAAAACCCGTTGTTCTAAGGTACTTGAAGGTTTAGCCTCTTCATCTTCACGAACCAACCTCCTTTCTGTCCCGAGCTTTTGCTCGTTATCACTCTTCTCTTTCAACTGTGAAACATTACCAAAAGGCTTACCTTCACACATCTGCTCCTCTGTTTTAGCCTCGGAACCGGTGCTAACCCTCTCTTCAACAACATTTGAAGCTTTGGAGTTACTAACAGCAACTTGAGAAGTTTCTAAATTTAGATCCTCTTCATCTTCAAGAATCAATCTCCTTCTGAGCATCTGATTCTCTCTACAATGTGGCTCAATACCAGAAGGCGTATCTTCATGAGTTTGCACCTCAGTGTTAGTTTCCAAACCAGTGATAACCTTTTCAGTCTTCTTCAATCTGCCCCTACGTTTATTTGGTTGCACTGTTTTTGGTGATTCTACATCTACAGAGACACTAAATGCGGATGAAGAAGAACTTGGTTTATCAGGAGTAGACTGCTTCAAAATATCTGGTTTGCAATCTTCACAAAACCATACTACAGGTTTGGATAAATCTTCTGGAAGTACTTCTAAACAATAGCTGCAAAATAAGTAAAACAAAAAAGTCATCAAAGAAAATAAGGTTTTCATACAAATAAAAATGGAAAATTAATGTACTCGTTATTTCTACAAAAAACTGTAAGCAACATAAAAGAATGCTTCAAACTCAATCCGTTATTTCTATTGTGCTACTTTGTTTTGCACACAAACCAAAAACAAAAGCATTCAACTGAGGACCATGCGGCATTCAAAATGCCAGCATTCTTCTTTTTTTCTTTTTAACTTTGTAAAACCAATGCCTTAAACACATACCGATGCAAAGCATATTCCCCGCACTTTTCACAGAGAGTCAAGGCATCCTCGAAGCCTTTGACACCACAATGCTGGCAAACAATCTCCTACAACAACAAACAAATAGAATTAGTAACTGCAAGTTTCTGCTATATGCATGTATGTATGTAAACACACATGGAAGCATACACGCACTCCTGCCTATGTAAGTGCGTGTATCAGAGAGGAAAAGTAAAGCGCTCTACAGATATCCAAAAAACAAGAACACAGAAGCTCCTAACATAGTTGTTTATGCACAAACTTTTGCGTGTTATGGAAGCAAATAGCAAACAACACAAGGAGAAGAATCCACCGGATGGCACAATCTTGGCCATCAATGTTTTATCCTTGTACCTCTCAGGATCATTACCGATGGCGTAGCCACATCCGTCACATTCTAAATACAGCATAGGATTCGACCCTATGATGTAATTGCTAACTTCATGTAAAGGTTTCAATCTCACTAACTCAAAACTTGAAATTATATGAAGCAGAAAAGGGAACAGTCCCATATATGATACCGCATCAAAAAAATAAAAAAAATAAAAAAAAATACCGAAACAAATCAAAACAAAATGAAGAATCACAAGTTCCAATTGACAGTAATACAACAACAACAACAACAAGCCTTAATCCTAACTTAATTGGGGTCGGCTATATGGATTTCACTTTTCCACACAACTTTATTTGAAATTAAACTTTCTGAAGGCCTAGATCTAGAATGTCTTTCCTAACTACTTCGGTCCACGTAATTCTTGGTCTACCCCTCCCTCTCATAGTATTAGGTATAAGAATGTCCTCCCAAGCACGAACTTGCGCTTCTAGCGGTCTACGTTGGACATGCCCGTACCACCTCAAGCGGCCTTCGCGCACCTTATCTTCTATTGGTGCTACACCTACTTTACTACGAATAACTTCATTCCTTATGCGATCCATTCTCGTATGGCCACTCATCCATCTTAACATACGCAT